GAGAAAGATTTAGCCAGTGCTTTTTCCCCTAAGACAAAAAAAAAAAACACACATAACAACAAAAAAAAAAACCCAAAACACAACAACAAAAAAAGAAACAAGATTCATCTGAAGGGAAAACTGCACTTTTTGGATGGAAGTCAAAAATACTCAAATCTCTCTGATTTTCTATCTACAAAGACATGGTGTATTGAAGACATTTCTAAACACCCAATAGTGATATATATTAAATGTTAAGGGTTAGAATCCTCAAGACTGATAGACACACATATGGAATCTGTCAAGGAATATGAATAAATAGCCGGTATACACTTAGGAGCGATAACAACAGCAAGTCCCACAGAAACCTGTGCAAATTCCTCTGCTGTTCCACACATGCCTAAGTTGTGTGGAAATGGAGACAAGTATTTAGATCATTAAGTCTGCTGGTACTATATTAGTAAAGATGACAGCCAACTGCAAAAATATGCAGGCAATTAAGTAAGTGAGCAATAAAACAGTAGATGTACACTGATGAGCAAGGGAGACAAAATCCCAGTTTTCCCTGTTAAAGGGGCTCCAAACAGTCTTCCACGCAGGAATGAGATCTTGGCACTACAGCAGGGTAGATCCAAGAAGAAATTGGTCCACTGAACAACAGCAGCTGGAAAAACAGGTTATCAAGACAGACAGTACGAAAACCAGAGATCATTATGCCACTTCATGAAACCCATGAGGTACCCACAGCTGAAGTAGTATATACAGTTCCCAAGCCACCTTCCCTGGCATAAAAATGTAGGGAAAAAAAAACCACGGAAGAACTAAGTGTTTAGAATAGCTTCTGTATGCAGAGAAGTTGAATGAAATAAGATCTTCAGTGAGGGAAAGATAAAACTTGGGGGCCATTATGACAGAATTCTCAACACAAAAACCCCACCCCACCAGTGTTGGGGAAGACAAGGAAGGAACAACCAGTCACTGCCTCTTCCAGTATAAGAACAACAGGGCATTAGGTGAAACCAAACAGATGCCAAAATCAAGCCAAGGACTATGAGGAGATAATATTCATGTGATAAACAGTTGAGTTACAAAGCTCCTTGCTACATATAGAACCACAGAATCCTAGAATAGTTTGGGTTGGAAGGGACCTCTAAAGGTCATCTAGTCCAACCCCCCTGCCATGGGCAGGGACATCTTCAACTAGATCAGGGTGCTCAGAGCCCCGTCCAACCTGACCTGGAATGTTTCCAGGCATGGGGCATCCCCCACCTCTCTGGGCAACCTGTGCCAGTGCTTCACCACCCTCAGCATAAAAAAATTTCTTCCTTATATCTAGTCTATACCTACCCCCCTTTAGTTTAAAGCCATTCCCCCTTGTCCTGTCGCAACAGGCCCTGCTAAAGAGTTTGCCGCCATCTTTTTTATAAGCCCCCTTTCAGTACTGATAGGCTGCAATAAGGTCTCCCCAAAGCCTTCTCTTCTCTAGGCTGAACAACCCCAACTCTCTCAGCCTTTCGTCATAGGAGAGGTGTTCCATCCCCCTGAGCATTTTCGTGGCCCTCCTCTGGACCCGCTCCAACAGGTCCGTGTCTTTCTCATGCTGAGGGCTCCAGAGTTGGACGCAGTACTCCAGGTGGGGTCTCACCAGAGCAGAGTAGAGGGGCAGAATCACCTCCCTCGACCTGCTGGCCACGCTGCTTTTGATGCAGCCCAGGATATGGTTGGCTTTCTGGGCTGCGAGCACACATTGCTGGCTCCTGTCCAGCTTTTCATCCACCAGTACCCCCAAGTCCTTCTCGGCAGGGCTGCTCTCAATCCCTTCATCCCCCAGATGCTATGGATGCTAAAAGTTCAGACTGTTCAAAAGGGACTAGGCAAATTAATGGAAAAAATCAACATCAAAAATATTAAAGCCTATTAAGTTATGCCATGCACACATATGCTCCAGCAAAATAAAAGGGGGATGGGGAATCTAAACACACATTCACATTCCCCCATACCACCACCTCTGGCTCAAAGTCTATAGGCTACGGATAAAGTCCCATGTTTATGATACATAATTATTCACTTGGCTACTGCTATTTATGCTGTTGCTGTCACGACATTGGACTAGACTGTCCTTTGGTTTGACTCAATATAGCCAACCTTAAACATATCATGACTAAGAAAAAGAAGCCCAAGAAAATTAAATACTGCTCTACTTTCTGTAGGTTTTGAACAACCACTTCAAAGGGTTTCCCTCTTTTTCTCCCCATATCCAGGGCTGAACACATTGACTTCTCTCCAGATCATGCAAGACGCTAAAAAACAAATATTTTCAGAAAAGAAAACTGATGAAAGTAGTAAAACAAGATTTTTAGGAAGAATCAGAAGAACTGGTTAATGAACACACAACCTGGTAGGAAAAGGATAGGGGGAAGATGTTTTAAAGAAGCACTGTCAAAAATGAGGCCTGAATAGTTCAACACTGACATCAGTTAAGAGCTGAATATGAAATGGATGAACACTAAGATGCAAGAGAGAAGGAAAAACACCTTAAAGTCAAATAATGACTTACCCATGTATTTATTACTATCTTATGCATTTTTACAGCACTTGGCATAATAAGACCATTCCAAAAAACCCCATGACCTCTTTGCCCTGTTCTGGCAGAATAGCAATCTCAGCATAAATTAGGACTAGGGAAAGCATTTTGCTTCTCTGAACTTGTGCCAGGGTGACAAAACAAGCGCGGAGCTGGAAGACGACAAAAAGTACTGTTTCTCAACACATTCTATGAACAGGTTTTTTTGTGTGCTCTCAAAATCTCTCAGCCCTCATGGGGGAGGGATGTCACAAGGCCCACTGACCTGGATTAGCCTGGATTATTGAAGTTCAATAGCATGATCCTCCACACTTCTTGGCAAAATAAGATTGTATTACAGTACTTCTAAAACATAGATATACACTGTCTAATGTCTAGATACTATTTTCATAATGTAAGACTATAAATCATTAAACTCAGTAGAAATAGTTCAGGGTATTGACCTGAAACACAGACTTTAAATGCCTCTTCAGTTCTTTTTGTAAAGTAACTCTAAACTCACATCTCCAAATTATACCTTACTTGTAAAGAAATATAAAACATAAATGAAAACATAATAAGTCTTTAATTCTTATTTGATCAGCAACAATATATTTAAGAAACAATTCCCCTTTTCAAAAGTTCCTTCATGCTTTTGACAGGCAAATGTTCAAAGGTTCATTTTATTTTTATGAAGGATGACAGAAGAAAAGCTTAAAACAGTTTTCCTCATTTTATGAAACACTTATACAAAGTATCAAAACTGAAGTGATTCTCTTTTTTTTTTTTTAAAAATAAATCACCAAGCCATAAAAACTAAGATGGCTGAAAAGGCAGCTGTTAGCTTTATTTCTGACAAATACAAAACAAAAATTACCTACAATCATGAACAAAAGCCACCTGTACCACTTCCATAAATAAACTGCAAGTGTGTTTGTAGTATTGTTTAAGGATTTGTATGTCACAGCTAGGTGATGCAAACTTCAAGCACAAATGGTAAAAGAGACCAAGGAATGCAAATTTATTCGATAAAGTCTTCATAAGTTATTTACAGAATAAGTATCTATATGTGCGCCAATAAACCATACTATATATAAGCACTAAAAGTAAATACAAGAGAGTAAGTTATTTCTTTCTGAGAACTCCAAATACACATATATCCCTTTTTTCCTAAACAAGTATTTTTCCAATTTGTAAGAAATAATTGGAAGGTGACCTTAAAGGCCAGGTCTTGTCCCAAACACCTTGGACAGTTAAGAGAAATTTGGTAAGATACTTGGCATTTAGATTACCATTTTGTAAAATGGTTTTATTTTACCCTTCAGCAACAAACACTAAATAAAAATGTAAAACAAAAATAATGTGACCTTCAGCTTACACCTCTTCAACACATTCAATTCTCGCTCCCCCTTCCACTGTAGTGGCAATTCTTTTCATTCCTCCTACACTGCAAAATTCTGTCCCACTACTAGAGTGACAGCAAGTCCATCTGTCCTCCTGTCCTTAAGAAAAGGGAGCAAGCTGGCTGGCAAAGAGCAGTGGACAGCACACTGGCAGCTGACCTGTGGCTCAGAAACAAATAGCTTCCCTAGCAAACAGGGCTACACAGATGCAGATTCTGGCACTGAAGAGACAATACTCTTCCCAGGGATCTTCAAGTACTTCTGGGTGAGGGGAAAGGAAAAGGGGCACAACAGATGTCTCCAAAGTTTGTACATGCCAACATCTGAATTGGGCAGTATCATGCACCAGAACTGTAAAATAAACCACTGAAGTGAAGCTTCTTCTGATCTGCTATTTTTAAACGTGGACAATTTTAGACAATGAATTGCTGCTCTGCAGTAATAAACAGCCATGAACTTCAACTGGCTTCAGTATCAAAATCAGTATTTTATAGAGCCATACATGAAGATGTGAACACACAAACCATTTTTCCACTGCCATCTTAGGTGAGATTACTGTCAGCAAAGGTCAGGACAGACAGTTAATTGAATTAACCATTTCAACCTTCCTCCCATGATTCACTCAAACTTACCTACCAGATCATGAAATCAAAAAGAAAAATCACCTATTAAACCTTTATTGCCTGCAGAAAATTCAGTCCTCAGAAACTAAGCAATTTCTTTTTAGTGTCTGCAACTGAAAAGAAATATTCTGAAGACATCGTAACATTTCACTGTATAACTGCATTTGTTCCAAGTCAGTTTATCACTCCTTCAAGCAGCATGAAAGATGCAAATTGACTCTTCAAGTCATGAGTCTAATTAAATCTGAAAGTAATTATAGTAAATGTTTAACTTCAATCACAGTTAACCACTTATCCAACTTATTCCACTAACCTAACAGATGCATCTGTCAGCAAGTACATTTGATCCAATTACTTCCTGATGCTACAGAAGTAGTGATCAATATAGAATACATAATGCTTCAGTGAGAATGACCAAAACAGCTGTAATACCTGGTTGTTTGCCCCACACCCAACTCTCAACAATTGATTTGGCCCTGTAAGTGGGCAGCGGAGTCTCTTCTTCATCTTTCTTTTCTTTGTCATTTTGCTCTTCTTTCTTTGATGCAGTTTGGCATTCAGTGCTATCATCTAAAGAAAAAAAAAAAGGGGGGGGGGGGAATAAAGACCAGTTAAGCTACTTTCCCCTTGAATTCAGTTCTAGGTTAGAAATGTAAAGGTGAAATGCCCAGCCCACAAGTTTATAGCAATACTGTCTATCACTAAGAGTACAGGGTGGGGGAAAGTAGTATTTTACCATGTTAACTGTCACAGGTGCTAGGTCTCATGTTACGTTTCATAAGACAGTGACCTTAGAATCCAGAAATCACTGCTGCAACCTCCTAGGGAGGATGAACATTTAATATCAATACCATCACGTAAGATTTGCAAAGGATTTGCAACACACAGTATCACAAAGGATGCACTTTAAGTCAGATTTTGCTCCCAACTATCCGCATTTCTGTAGTATTTACTTGTTTTCATATTCCATTTCCAACACAGAAAAAAAGATAGCAATTGCCTTAATTTCAAAATCAAGGAGAGCTATATATTGGCATTGACACTAATTTTATGCAGCAGTATTTCAACATCTGTAACGTATCTAGCATCTTAGTAATTACCAGCAAGTAACAAAAATAATACCACGACTTTCTGCCCAAGCAACAAAACAGCATTTGCAATCCTTTCGAGATTACTTTCATAAAGACAGAATGCAGACATTAGTCACTTACCTCTGTAATCAAAGGCTGCATGAAAGTCCCAATTTTCTAAACACAGTAGAACTAGACAGCTGGAAGTCTCTCCTTATTCATATTGGGGATATGGATTTCCAGATCCATACCTCCAGTCAGTTCAATGCACAAGACTGGCTTGCAATTAAGGGCCACGTTGGCAACTACTTTCCTCACCCTGACCTTCTTTTCTAAAAATATCCCCCAAAATTCTCAAGTCCAGCATCTGCAACTTACCCCTGAAGAGTTTAGTTCCAGCCATTTTCACCAGGCTCTTAAAAATGACTGGTCCTCCATTCCTAACTGCCAATCTAGTCTACAGAGACTGTCCCCCCCAAAACGTCCCGGCCACAAGAAGCCAGACAAGCATTAGAATTTTGTCTTTTTTCCTATCTCACCCCCCACACCAGAAACATATGCATTTGTACTAGCATATTCCAGAAGACAATAATAATCAAGAGGTTTACAGCTGTAGCCAGACACAGCACATCTGATTGCAGCCTGCCTCAGACTCACCATGACCCCACTTGGAGATCAAAGGCTCTCATCACCTCAGAACATACAAAATATATCTATCACAATGTACAAAAACATGCAACTATTCTTTCCGTCTGGCCTGAAAAAAATGAATGCCTAATCCGGTTGTAACTGGATCTGTGATTGCCTCTTTGTTAAAAATTTGTTAGACTGTAGACAATAGCACCTCCTAAAATAAACCTTTTTAAGGTGCCGTAATTATAAAAGTTTTAAATTAAAGCCAATGTTTCCTAACCTATAACACACACTAGTGCTCAGGAGGTGGCAGATGAAGACTGAAGGAGAATAGGGAAAAAAGGAGACATAACTGCAGCATGCATGCTGCAGCTGAGATTGTGGGCTAAGGAAGGGACAGCAAAGTCAGTTGAGGACAGGAAAAAGCAGTTTGGATATCCCACTTGTAAGTGGCAATCATAGAGAGTGTATCTGTTTCTCTCAAACACCAAGGAACAGCCAATAGTACAGTAGTCATCAGCATAACACATGTCCAAAATGTGACTGAATCTAGCTGTTTCTATTTCAAGGCACAAGCACATAATATTAAAGGCACAGATTCCGTTATAGAGTTAAATCAGCGACTAAGGACCCTGTTTAGCCCCAGTAGTTCGGAATATTCCCACAGTAACACCGTTATCTCACTGTTTCTCCACTCACCCACACATCTAGAGACACACTCCACAGGTCTGGGATTGTAGTTAGTGGGTAGAAGGGTGTTGTGCCAAGACACTACGTTTTGCAGGCAGCCGTAAAAGAACCTGTTACGCTTTTTAATGGATCCTTGGCAAAGGATGGCAAAGGGCTACGAACACAGATGTTTTGCCCAACTCCTCACTGCAGATAGAGGAGGTCCCAATCCAGGTGGGAACTTGAGCTTTGTGTTGTATAAAAACAACTTTGACACACAAATCCACAAGGGAGGATGTTGTCTGGTTTTTTTAATTGTCTGTATGAACAGAAAAAGGGAGCAATGAGAGAAGTGGGAAGGAGCTGAGCTAAAAAATCATATTAAAAGCCCATGTCAAATTGTTCCACAAAGACTTTTCACTATATTTGCAAAAAACCACTTGCCCCGTAAGGAACAAAGTTCCTATCAGTCTAGATTGAAAGCAGCAACAGAGACATCTTAATTGTGGAACCTCAGTTATGCTTAATGAAAGGGATTTTTAAAAAGGGAGCCCCAAAGATTTTTCAGAAACAGGGGCAGGGAGGAAGAAACCTTGAGTGAAGCCAGCACAGGCCAAAATAACAAGTAATAAGACAGTTTTCAAAACAATGCATGTAAAAACACGCTGCAGTGTGACAACCTGTTTTAACTTCATTTTTCTCAGACCAAAGCATGAATATTGTGGTGGGGGAAAACAACCATGTAACATTTCCCTGAAAGAACTTTCTCTTAACTATGTTTTGGTTTACAACGTTATGCCTCCAAGCTGAAGCAGGTATCCTTAGCCAGTCAAAACTGAGCAACTGAAGTAACCATCCTCAATTAGAAGTTAGCTCCCAAACCGAAGCACAGTAGCTCACCATGTGTGCTCTATCTTGCATGGCAATAGCCTAATCCAGTATAAACGGAGGATAAAAAGGAAGCAACTAAAGGTGGAACTTACATTTCATATTCAATGAAGAAAGTCAGTGACACTGCACGGTCGCCGCCGGCACCTGTTACAGTATGATCTTGTGCTGCTCTTAAATGCCAATGAAGCTATATAGTTAGGAATCCCTCAGTAGAAAGAAAAAGCCTGCAACAGTTTCCCAACAGATGTTGCCACTCACAAGGCAAACAGTTACGCAGTACTGTTATTCTTATCATGAAGATGTGGTTTCTGCCAGCCTCTCTGGAATCGCTTGTGGCATTTGGACTTTATTATCTAGTTGCAGGTGCAATACTGAATGAGGTTTGCGGATTCAACAGCACTAGCCTGACAAAGGTCCAACTTTCAGGAAAGGGGAAACAGAAAAGAGGAAGCCCACAGTGTTTACCAAAGGCAGGACAGAGACATGGAGATGACGATTTTATATTTTTGCCCTGGAACTTAAAATAGCTAACTGAAACAGAAATTCCCACCTATACGGAAGTTTGAGGAATCAGAAATAAAAAACACACAAACACAAAAAAGAGAGACCTGTGTAGCTGGCTGATGTGTCTTAAAAATTTACAGTAATGGTTCTCTAACTTAAAAATTTAGTAAGAATAAAATTATTTATTGCTTTTTATTATTTTCAGTACATAGCTTCCACTATACAAGATACTAATCTCATCCAAATTTCCAGAGGGCAGGCTGATTATCTTTTAAGTACATGCCATGCTGCAAGTGCACCTGTATTTGGACATCACTACTGTCACAGCTGTGTCCTCACATGATACTTGGAAACATGCAAACACATTCTGCTGAACGCATTTATCAAACATGTTTTTCTGAAAGTGCCATGAAGAAAAAACAAAGAGGTTATTCCTAACCGAATGTTCTTGCTAACAGAGGGAAAAAAAAAAAAACCAACCACACCAGTATTTGCATATTCTTCCTAGAGAGAAAAGCAATGCTTTTTGCTATCAATAGCATGTTCTTCCAGTCTATTGCCACTGCTGATATCCACCAAAAGAATGAAGTGCCTCTTCTGGGCAGCCCAGTCAGCATCAACAGAGAGCTACAGCACTAGTCAAGAAAAGGAGTTACAATGGATGGGCATAAATCAAAACTTCTTAAAACAGACCGAATAAAAAGGACTACTTACAGCAACCTCTCTTATTTATCTCCAAATTAGTCAATTTAGCAGCAAAATCTGAATATTGAGAGTAAAATATATTGCTTTTAATATAAAAGTACTGGGTTTTATATAAATCTCATTACTTGTATGTACTTTTCCGTCTCCTCTTGAATTACATTTGTAGATCATTTATGCAAAAAAGTAACTACCAACTAAACAGACTGATATACTCTAGATTTTAATTTCATTAAACTCAATTTGAGCTGCAAGTTCAGAAGTGTAAACTGACCGCCAATTTTTCTGGTTCCATGATTCACTACTGCCTAACGGAATCAAATTTACAATTTGATCGACATTGACCAAAAATAGCCTTGATTAGCTTTTTCTTCTCAAAGCTCGAGTCTAGTAAGCAAGATGGTCGTATTTTACCAATCCTGTAGGCCAGCACAATGGCATTTATGTAGACTAACTTCACTGAAAGAGAATTCATACATTACTTCTAAGAGTTAAGAGCTGTATTTAAATTTCTAAACCACTGTAGCTTTTCAAGAAATAGATGTTTTAGAAGTACCTATGTAGCAGAACATAGAGACTCCAGTTGTGGAAAGGAACAGATGCAATCTGTGCTATATAATACCTACACTTAACCCCTCCAGAAGGAAGGGTGAGGGGAAGGTGTTGTTTTAATATTTATCTTTGTAACTCACTATCCAAAGCTATCTTAATTGGCAATAAATTAAATTAAATTAATTTTCCCCAAGTTAAGTCTGTTTTGCCCATGACAGTAACTGGTAAGTGTTCTCCCTGGCTTTATCTCAACCCACAAGGTTTTCCATTTTATTTTCTCCCTCTGTCCTATTGAGGAGGGGCAGGGAGCGAGAAGCAGGGTGGGTAGCTGGCAGCTGGCTAAGGTCAACCCACTACAATACAGTACCGGAAACAAGTGGCAGTCTTGCTTTAACCATTAACCAAAAAAAAAAAACAAAACCAAAAACAAACACACAAAAAAACCCACCACGGATATCAGAAAGCTTTCAAAAGCTTCACCACAGCTTGGACCACTGACATTTTAAGGTAAAATAAATGCCTTATTTCTACAGTAAACAGTCAGAATTTCTGTATTTTTAAGTAACAGTATCCTACAGCCTTTAACACTTTATACCTTTTTGATCCTTCGAAGTTGTGTATGTACATACATCCAGCATTTAAAAAAAAGAAAACCAACTTCACATCATTATTCAGAATAGGTGTCCCAAGTGTGGATGAACATGTGAAGTCACAGATGATTGACTTGCTTAGCACTTCTGGTTTTTTGCTTTATACTGCTCTCTACATTTTGGATCAGAACTGATAGCTTGCATTTTCCTAGTTGGTATTTCAATGATTCCCCTGAAAACAAAAACCAATTATACTATGGCATCTTTCTATAAGCTTTCTCATAATCATTGAAAGCACTACAGCACCATAACTAACAAAAATCCCAATTCTCTGTGGCTACTTAGCTATAAAGATATTGGAAGAATAATTTTCTGTCAAAGACCAGCACAGGTGCAACTCCAAAAACAATGTGTAAGCATCTGGCACAAAAACTGCATCAATTTCATTTGTAAAGCAGGTATTTACTTTAATATATTGTCTTTATTATTATAGATGCTTGTTATCTTTTTGCTATGTGAGAGCAGAGTGTGTTGAATCCTTATATCACAACCATCACAACACCCCTATCATGAGCTGTCAGTGAATGGGAAAGTGTTTCCCACGGTTCATTTAGGGGACAATCCTTTCCTTCATTGCATCAAGTTTATGATGCTTTTTAGTAATATACATGAAACTAGCCAATCCTAAGAAAAAAATATTACACTGCCTCCACTCATTTCATGAGCAGTTGCTGTAGTAGCCTTTCTGATAAGATCAGCTGTATTTTCGTCCAGTGTCAACAATAATATTCAAAAGGGCCAGCAGCAGCAGCAGGACAAAAAAAGTTTTCTAACTCTGAAACAGTTAGGAGCATAATTCTAGTCCTAACTACAGCACGCAGCCACTCACAACCTACAAAACTTATACTCTTGATAAAAATAATGTGTAACTCACTCTCCTCTCATAAACTATTTATTATAGCTTCTTTTCTGAAGAAATAACTTCCTCTAGTCAAAAAGACTTCTCCCTCCCCCCGTTTTTTAAAGACGACAAATCATAGGTACAAAAAAAAAAAAAAGAAATTCTCTCCATAAGGAATTGAGCATTACTGGTTTGAAATATCATGTCTATCCAACAGTACAGTTCAGGAAGTAACAGAAGCTGAAATAATAGTTCACTGCTACCAAAGGCAGTATTTCCACCCTTCTCCTAGACAGAGCCTCATTTATTCGGGGGTCACATATATTACTGACAAAACTTATCTGACCATTTGGTGAGCCCATTTCAGCCAGGTTAGGAAACATAAACCTTTTCCTTTTTTGACCAGTTTAATCTTCTGTTCAATAAGGAGTTAAAAGAGCACCACAATCAGAAGAAGGAAAAAAGGCAAGAGCAGAATCCCTCCATTTTGGCATAGCCCATCATGAAACAAAATCCACCTCCACCAAAGTAATCTCTCTAAATAGATGCATTACTCTGCCATTTGCAGGACTGACAGTGTTTGAACTGCTCTCAAGTACACTACAAGACAAAAAAAAAAAAAAAAAAAAAAAAAAGGCACTACCTTCTCAGTCCGATTGTAGACAGCTTTTTAGCTGACCTTTTAGTTACTTTATGAAGACTGTAAACAAAATTAGAAATAGCAGTACTGGCTTTACCCCATTCCTCAGTCCACTTCCTTTAAACAAAGGCTTCAGCTGTAAACACACCAAGCATACCAAACAAAAGGACACTGCCAAGACTCTCTCATAATAATACGCCTAGTGATGAAGTTTAATTTCAAAAGGCTGGAACAGATTTAAGCCTTCATTTGAAGGCTTAGACGTTACCTTTCTGTACGCTTTTAAGAAATCAGTTTCAACTGTATTTAATTCAAAACATGAACACCTGCAAATTGTATAGACAGGTGATGATAAACGAAAGTTCTGTGACAGTATAAAATTTGAATTCCATTTTCATCATCACAATGAAAGAAAATGAACAAAGAAAAAAACTAATTGAAAAATCCATACCTTTTCTTGGAGGTAGTTCACCACTTTGTGTTAACTCTGTTCCAGGATATACAATCTCCCCATCTTTTACCATTTCATTCCACAAGCCACATAGTCCATCTCGTGTAAAAGCGAGCTGTTAAAAATAATATATTATACATAGTTACACACAACAATTTTCTCTCAAGACAACTCAAGCTAACATTTAAAATACATCAGATTTTATGTTTTGTCCCAGAAGAAAGAAAAACACATGTATCACCTCACTAGTATACTCATTGCGTGTGTGTATGATAGGGATCTTCAGGATCTCTGATTCTCTAGCTATGTATATTCAGACTAAAAGCGCAAAACAGTCACTTTTAGATAGGCTCAAATACAGCAAGATGAACTTTCTTTCGGTGAAAAATTCTCATCAAAAGCATAGATTTGGTCACGGCAGAACTATCCACACATTCAAGATGACATCATGCAATAATCGGGGGGGCACGGGGTGGGGTGTCCTTTTTCCCTTCAGGAGAAGCTATCCAGACAAAGTCACAAAACGGGGAAGCATGAATAAAGTCAATACAGTCCCATCTCCAAACCAGCAACTGAAGAGCTCGGCACTCAACCAGAACACATGACATCAAGGCACAGATTCATAAACGTATTTAACCAATTCAAACTGGTCCTGCTGTGCAAAGCATCTCTCACAGCCCTCCCTCTTCCTTCCAGCTGCTACAATGCCTCCTCTCACATGCAGGCTAATGCACGTGCGTGATCATCTGCTGAACCAGATCATGTAAAACCAGCTGTGCCTGGGGGAAGAGTGAGGGGCCACCTCAGCCCAGGTCAGTTCCCAATACACTACCTGTGCAATATGACAAATACTCGCGATAGAACAAATGGCAGGACTGTGCTAGCTGGAGGCGCTCATGAAAGCACCGGCTGTAGCACGTGTCTCCTAATGATTTATCAATTTGGATCTCCCTTGAAGAATCCTAATGACCAGGATAACTTGTCTTCTACTGATGTTGTTCTCTGCTTTATAAAAAGCTGCAAAACAGGTGTCGACATCCCAAATGAATTCCATAATAACCAGGCTATAATTTGCAACCGTATAGCATAAGGGAGGAAGGATATTGAAAAACAGAATACCTTTAGCATACCAAAGTGGTGCAGTGGAGACATTAAAAAAAAAAACCAAACCTGCTGAAGGCTTGTTCAGAAGCCTCTTTGTGTTACGTAACTAGTATTCAAATCCAAAGTGTTTTAACTGAGGAGTAGTACAAAGATATTACTTACACAACTGCTGTAAAATATTTACCTTTACACACAAAAGTCCACTTATACTTTATTTTGATCTATTTCCTAAAGATATTTTAACACTTAAAGATTACAGGTTTTAAGAGTCACAACCACCAGCAGGGAAGTCGTTTGCTGATCTAGCTAATCTCAGTTAACATGAAGACTTAAAGACAAGTTGCATGTTTTGACACCACTGTAACACACTAAATTACCATAGCAGTTTCTTGACTTCATATTGCATACTTCAGAAATTCACTCTAACACATATTAATGATCTCAACCGTTTTTCTTTCAGCATAAAATATGAGCTGATGCATTGTACGTGTTTGTCACTTGCTATTTCCTGATCTCGGGGGGATAAGAGGGAAAAGAATCACACATTGTGAGCTAGACATTATTCAACTTACCTGCAATTTATCAATTGTGCAGCACCAGAATTACACTGTGATCATGTTTTACTGAAAGGTACAGTCCCTGTTCTTCAGAGCTAGTCAGCACGTAAAGCTTTCACAAAGATTCTTGTGTTTTGCTAAAAGCTTTACGTTTGGCTTATTTTTAAAAAAATTGGAATAGTCTGAAGTAAAGTTGCATTTCAACAACGCAAAAAAAAAAAATCAACCATTCACCATTGACTGAATTTCTTGCATTGTTCTCAGTCTGTAAGTATTTCAAAAATAAATGGCGTTGACTTTCTGCTTCATCACATGTGGTCATATACTTTAGTGGGGCACTTAAGGAATTTATTTTTCACAATTTTTTCCTTGCAAAAATAGCTAAACACAACTGTTTCACTATTTTTGGCTCATATGTGCTAGAAGATTTTTTTTTTAAACATTCACCTGTTGAGTGCTAACCTATGCTAAAATACAAGCTTGAAAAATAGTGAGTGAGGCAACCCTCCAGATAGGTTGCATAATAAATTATGGTTTTCACAAAGTTAAGATTTTTGTCTGATAAACTGTCTTTTCATACATTTTATTTTACATTCTGAGATCACCTTGGTATGGAAAGTAATTCTCACAGCCCTTAAGCTTACAATCTAAAGGCCTACAGGCTTTGAATTCAAGGTTCTTCATAATGCAGCACTGTTTTATTTCAGAAAATGTACTACTTTTGTAAGCATTGCTGTAAAGTAGAATCAAGAATTGTTTTCCCCATTTTAACCTCTAATCCTTTCACACGGCACAAAGTTCACCCAAGTCTTTCAAGCAACTAAAAACTGAAAAAGTAAACAAAATTTCTTCTGCCTTGGGTTTGATGTTCAAATTCTTATCAAAGTCATTTTCTTGGTATGTTGCATAAAGATAAGAGCAACCACCAAGATTATAAGTCAGAGAGAGTTCCCCCTCCTTCGCCAAATACCTCATGTGGAAGCTTACACCATAAGCAGCCTTCAGATAAACAATTTTGCTTTTATTCAGGTTGTAGTTAATATTTTCCCAATGGTATATGTGTTGGGGGAGGGAGAAAAGGAGACATGTTTGAAAGGAAAGGAGCATTGGCCTTTTTTTGTAGCAATAATCAAAACAACCAACTGAAAGGACAATTAAGAAACAGTATTTATAACCAATTCATCTGTCATAACTGAGGGCAACTCAATTCCAGCTGCAACAAGTTCACTATTAATCTACTTGACATTCAGCAGACATATTAAACAGTGAATTGCCACTATGATAGCCAAAAGTGAAAGAAAAGTCTGAGTTTTTAAGTGATATATTATTCAAACAGTTTAATTTTCATGATCCCAAAATTCTATAACCGTAATAGAAGCTTCACAACTCCCTTAAGTGAAATTCACTTAAGCAACAGAAACGGAGGAGTGGCTAATATGCCAGAGGGTCGTGCTGCCATCCCGAGGGACTTTGACGGGCTGGAGAAATGGGCTGACAGGAACCTCATGAAGTTCAACAAGGAGAAGTGTGAGGTCCTGCACCTGGGGAGGAACAACCCCAGGCACCAATATATGCTGGGGGTAACCCAGCTGGAAAAAACGGCTTTGCAGAAAAGAACCTGGGGGTCCTGGTGGGCACCGAGTTGAACATGAGCCAGCAGTGTGCCCTCGCCACAAAGAAGGTTAATGGGTGTCCTGGGCTGCATTAGGAGGAGTGTTGCCAGCAGGTCGAGGGAGGTGATCTTCCCCTCTACTCAGCACTGGTGAGGCCACACCTGGAGTGCTGGGTCCAGTTCTGGGTTCCCCAGTACAAAAGAGACATGGACATACTGGAGAGAGTCCAACAGAGGGCCACGAAGATGATGAAGGGACTGGAGGAAAGGCTGAGAGAGTTGGGACTGCTTAGCCTCAAGAGGAAAAGGCTCAGGGGGGAACTCAACATATATAAATATCTGAAGGGAAGGTGTAAAGAAGGTGGAGCCAGGCTCTGCTCAGTGGTGCCCAGTGGCAGGACCAGAGGCAATGGGCACAAACTGAAACACAGGAGGTTCCCTCTGAACATCAGGAAACACTTTTTCACTGTGACGGTGACCAAGCACTGCAACAGGTTGCCCAGGGAGGCTGTGGAGTCTCCATTCTCGGAGATATTCAAAAGCCATTCGGACATGGTCCTGGGCAACTGGCTCTAGGTGGCCCTGCTAGATCCGGGGGGTTGGACCAGATGATCTCCAGAGGTCCCTTCCAACCTCAACCATTTGTGATTCTGTGAAACCAGCAGCTAAAGATAACAGTAAGTGAACTGTATGGTAGAAAAGTCAAATATCTGCTTTGACTACACAATACTGCTTTTCTTTCTTTCTACAGTGTTTTAAGACTACCTTAGCCTGCACAAGCACATATTACTTTCTTCTTTTGCTCCCACCGATACTTCTTGCATGCAGTCATTTGCAAGGAGTCTATCAACACATCCAAGTGCTGAGACAGGAGAACTAGAACTTTGTTCAGAACAAATTTGGAAAACAGGTCTCTTTGGTTTCTATTTTCCAAAAAACATGACTCTGCTTCAAAAATATGGCTCTTCTTCCACTCAGTTCTTTAAAGAAAGTTCACAAGGCAATCAATGGTGCAGTGCAAGAGAAGAAAAACACACTTGGTGTCTTCATTGTTTCTGACATACTGGGGTTGCAAGTACAGGAGTACCTCCCTGTGTTTTGTTAAGTCTAACACGCTCTCACTAAATCGCTTGATTTATGTGGACATCTTTCCCTCTAATAATTTACTAACTTCATTTGTGAATGTTTAAAGGGATGAACTTGACAAACTCAATTATTCTTAATTTGTTAACTTACTGAGTTTTCACTGAACTTTTGCAACTGGCAACAGTGTCAGAGATGCACACTCTGTAAAAACCGCACAAGGACCCCAAGTACCTGCTTGGCCCACCACCTACACGCTGCCTTCTCAAGACTGAGACAACAGCAGCTCCTCGCTCCATCACCACTATCCACTGCCTTACAACCTTGGCCCATGTTCTTAATCCTCCTACTCATTCCATCAAATCAAGTGCCATCCCCCATGCCCAAAATCTCCCTTGTTCTTCCCATGGCATCTCCTGACCTCCTCTCAAATAAATCCACAGCCACATATCCTCATCTCCTACGCATCTCACCTTCACAAACCACAAGCCGCTTGTACCATTTGTCACACATTCTCATCCCCAGACCATGTCTTGATCTGAAGTGAACTTCCACTGCACCGTAAACTGAGCAGCCCCCACTCTAATCTTTTGCTAATCTTATCTCTGCAGTTAAACTGTAATTTATTCTGCCCGCTACAACATTTAATTAAGTCAAAGGGATATCTAGTTTGATTGCTGGCATATGCTGCTGCCATCCTCCAACAGGGCTGGCAGTGAAATTCCCATCCATCCCCATCAACTCTAGAGAATAAGGCAT